TGACCCGTTTCCTGGAGGCAGTGGATGAAGATAGGCAAGGCCCGCTTTCCCCGCGTCTCCAGGTCAATGCACAGCTGCCGCGCCTGCGCACTCCGCACACCCGACCCCTGCGAAGAAGGAGACATCACGCCTGAAGGTGTGTCTACACTGGAGGACGAATGCGGTTTAGCAACAACTGTGACAAGGGGTTTCATGGGAGCCAAGAAATTCCTAAGGAGGTTCCTCTAACGGGTAATAGATATATATATATATATATACATATACTAGCTGTGCCCTGCCACGTGTTGCTGTGGCCTATAGTAAGAATTTTCGAAGGAGAGGTAGATACCTGGACTATTATGAAAGAGAGGAACCTACCTATTCCTTCCCCCTCTTTTTCTTCCCCTTTCTCTCCTTTCTTCCTTCTCTACCTCTTTCTTTCCTTCCTTCTTTCACTCTTTGGTTTCATCCTTCCTCCTCTCTTTCCTTCCTTCCTTCCCTCCCCCTTTCTCTACTTCTTCCTTTGTCTCATGTCTTCCTTCACTGTTTTCTTGCTTCTTTCACTTTCTATTTCCTTTTCCCTTCCTTCCTTCTTTACCTCTTTCCTGCCTTTCCTTTCCTTTCTACTTTATCTTCTTCCTTCCTTCCTTCCTTCCTTCGGTACCTCTTTCTTTCCTTCCTTCCTTCCCTCCCTACTTCTCTTCTGTCTGGTAGAGTCCCTTCTAACTCTATTCTAGGAGTCTATTTAATATAGTAACATATGGTAGTAACATATTATATAGTAATAGATATAACAGTAATATATGTAATATAATATTCATGTATTATATAGCAGTATATATAATAGTAATATATATAGTATTGTAATTATATATATCAGTGGTTCTCAACCTGGGGGTCGGGACCCCTGAGGGGGTCACGAGGGGGTTTCAGAGGGGTCACCAAAGCCATCCAAAAATGTATTTTCTGTTGGTTATAGGGGTTCCATGTGAGAAGTTTGGCCCAGTTCTATCATTGGTAGGGATCAGAATGATCTTTTATTGTAGGTGAACTATAAATCCCAGCAACTAAAACTCTCAAATGCAAGGTCTATTTTCCCCAAACTCCACCAGTGTTCATTCACATTGGGACATATTGAATATTCGTGCCAAGTTTGGTCCTGTGCCATCATTGTTTCAGTCCACAGTGCTCTCTGGATGTAGGTAGACTACAGCTCCCAAACTCAAGGTCAGTGTCAACCAAACCCTTCCAGTATTTTCTGTCGGTCATGGGAGTTCTGTGTGCCAAGTTTGGTGCAATTCTATCATTGGTGGAGTTCAGAATGCTCTTTGATTGTAGGTAAACTATAAATCACAGCAACTACAACTCCCAAATGACAAAATCAATCCCCCCCCCCCAACCCCACCAGTATTCAAATTTGTGGGCATATTGGGTATTTGTGCCAAATTTGGTCCAGTGAATGAAAATACATCCTGCATATCAGATATTTATATTATGATTCATAACAGTAGCAAAATTGTAGTTGTGAAGTAGCAACAAAAATAATATTATTATTGGGGGTCACCACAACATGAGGAAGCGTACTAAGGGGTCGTGGCATTAGGAAGGTTGAGAACCACTGATATATATGTATATATTTTAAGCCACTCATTACGACATGAGCATTTATATATATATAGATACACATTCACACACATAGAATGTATTATTATGATTATATATATATATATATATATATATACACATACATACACACATTATTATAATGATTATATATATATATATACACATACATACACACATTATTGTGATTATATATATATATACACACACATTATTATAATGATTATATATATATACACATACATACATACACACACTATTATAATGATTATATATATACACATACATACACACACATAGAGAATGTATTATTATAATGATTATATATATCTATACATACATACACTTATTATAATGATTATATATATATATATACACATACATACGCACATTATTGTGATTATATATATATATACACACATTATTATAATGATTATATATATACACATACGTACACACATATAGAATGCATTATTATAATGATTATATATATATACACACACACATAGAGAATGTATTATTATAATGATTATATATATATATACACACACACATACACACACACATATAGAATGCATTATTATAATGATTATATATATTTACACACACACATACACACACACATAGAGAATGTATTATTATAATGATTATATATACACACATGGTACAGACACACAATATTTTAATAATTACATATATATATATATATATATACACACATACACACATAGAATGTATTATTGTGATTATATATATATACACACATACATACACACATTATTATGATTATATATATATATATACATACATACACACATATAGAATGTATTATTATGATTATATATATAGAGAGACATACATAAACACATTATTAAAATGATTATATACACACATATACACACATATAGAATGCATTATTATAATGATTAGATATATATATATATATATATACATACACACATTTATATATATATACATACACACATATAGAGAATGTATTATTATAATGATTATATATACACACATATACATACACACATTATTTTAATGATTATATATATATATATATACACATATAGAATGTATTATTGTGATTATATATATACACACATTATTATAATGATTATATATATATATATATATACACACACATACATACACACACATAGAGAATGTATTATTATAATGATTATATATACACACATATACATACACACATTATTTTAATGATTATATATATATATATATACACATATAGAATGTATTATTGTGATTATATATATACACACATTATTATAATGATTATATATATACACACATATATACACACACACATATAGAATGTATTATTATGATTATATATATACACACACATACATACACACATTATTATAATGATTATATATATATATATACACACATACATACACACATTATTGTGATTATATATATATATACACACACATTATTATAATGATTATATATACACACACATACATACACACATTATCATGATTTTATATATATATATATATATATACACATACACACACACATTATTATAATGATTATATATACACACACATACATACACACACATATATAATGTATTATTATAATGATTATATATACACACATATACATACACACAATATTATAATGATTATATATATATACATACATACATACACACACATAGAGAATGCATTATTATAATGATTAGATATATATATACATATACATACACACATATAGAATGTATTATTATAATGATTATATATATACACACATACATATACACACATTATGATAATGATTATCATTTAATAATTTATTATTATTATTATTCTGAAAGGCACTGGACCTGGATCTCCTCGATCATGTCCTGGGAGAAGACCCCCTCCTGCACCAGGAGATCCCAGAGGGGATCCACTCGCAGCTCCTTCACCAGCCGGACCCGATTCCTCCGCAGCAAAGCCCGGTGGGACTCTTCCATGGCGGGAAAAGGAGGAAAACACGCTACTTCCGGGTAGGGAACTCCCCACCCTTGACCACGCCCCTTGCTCCTCCCCTTTGCGTGACGCCACATGCCCATATATGGCCATCGCTTGGCTACATCGTTCTGACGCATGCGCGGTTATCGCCTCCTTATGGTTGAACTGCTCGGAGACCAACAGCTATTCGCGCATGCGCAGTGTCCGCTTCCTTATTGCCAAACGATCCGAGACAAACGGCTCTTCACCACGCATGCGAGGTACAGCTTTCTACGCATGCGCAGTTTCCCCCTCCTTAGGGTTGAACAACCCGTAGCAAGACAAACGGCTCTCTGCGCATGCGCAGTTTCCAGCTCCTTGTGCCCAAATAACCCGCAGGAGACAGACGGCTCACCGCGCATGCGCAGTTTCCCCCTCCTTAGGGTTGAACAACCCGCAGCAAGACAAACGGCTCTCCGCGCATGCGCAGTTTCCAGCTCCATGTCCCCGCGCATGCGCAGTTTGCAGCTCCTTGTGCCCAAACAACCCACAGGAGACAGACGGCTTTCTACGCATGCGCAGTTTCCCCCTCCTTAGGGTTGAACAACCCGCAGCAAGACAAACGGCTCTCCGCGCATGCGCAGTTTCCAGCTCCATGTCCCCGCGCATGCGCAGTTTGCAGCTCCTTGTGCCCAAACAACCCACAGGAGACAGACGGCTCACCACGCATGCGAAGCACAGCTTTCTACGCATGCGCAGTTTCCCCCTACTTAGAGTTGAACAACCCGCAGCAAGGCAAAGGGCTCTCCGGGCATGCGCAGTTTCCAGCTCCTTATGCCCAAACAACCCGGAGACAGACGGCTCACAACGCATGCGCAGTTTCCCCAGTTTTTTCTCTCTGCGCATGCGCAGTTTCCAGCTCCTATTGGCAAACGATCCGGAGACAGACGGCTCCACCGCGCATGCGCAGTTTCCCGAAAAAAAAAAAAAACTAAAGGGTGCAACTAAAAAAAAACAGTTTCCCCAGTTTTTTCTCCCCGCGCATGCGCAATTTCCAACTCCTTATGCCCAAACAACCCGCAGGAGTCAGACGGCTCACCGCGCATGCGCAGTTTCAGGCTCCTTATGCCCAAACAACCCGGAGACAGACGGCTCACCACGCATGCGAAGTACAGCCTTCTACGCATGCGCAGTTTCCCCAACTTTTCTCCCTCCACGCATGCGCATTTTCCAGCTCCTTATTGCCAAACGATCCATGACACAAACTGCTCTCCGCGCATGCGCATTGTCCACCTCCTTGTGCCCAACCAACCCACAGTAGACAGACGGCTCACCACACATGCGAGGTACACCTTTCTACGCATGCGCGGTTCCCCCCCGCCTTATACTCCCCGCGCATGCGCATTTCTTTCCACCGCTCGCTTACCCTCCCGTCCAAGTTTCGAGGCGGGGCTTGGCCTTGCCGGAAGCGAGCGTCTCTATGGTGACGGCGGCCGGAACCGGAAGTGGACCCTAAAGGGACAAGAGAGGAGAGCTGAGGGTGGGTAGTGCGAACATTTCTCCAATTATTATTTTTATCTAATATATATATATATATCTATATATATATATATAATATTCATCTATGTATATCAACTCTTTTAATATATATATTAATATACATATATTATATATAGATTAATATAATATATTTTTGTATTTTATAGCTATTCTATTTTTATTAAATGTTTAGATATTCTATTGATATATATATATATTTAGTAGAAATTATATTTTTGTTGTTTTGTGGGTATTCTATTTCTGTATTTTGTAGATATTATTCGTATATAAAGATAGATATTTATGTTTCTTCATTAGTTTATATTTTGTAAATATATTTTGTCTCAACATTTTTATTATTTGTATATATATTTATATATATATGTTAGATTTATATTTGTGTATGTATTATTTTATATTTTGATATTATGTTTTATACTATATTATTATAATATTATTATAATATTGTAATATAATTTCTACTATATTTATATTTTATTATATTTTAGACTGACATTTTACCTTTTTATTCTTTGTGTGTGCGCAGGAG